TGGGATTCTTAATCACATCCTTAAGAGGCCTCGTCCACAAATATGCTGTTTAGTCACAAGCCACAGATATTTGTCTCAGGAGCAGTTAACCACCAACCTGGCAAGCCAAGAGCCCAACTCAGGCAGTTATTATAAAGGTCCACGAAGCTCCAGGTGGAAGCACAGTCCTCTACCAGCACACTCACAACAATGCACCTATTTCCACCCCAGAAACAGACATTTCTGGGTCAAAGTGTTTGGACTGGACTGTACATTTTAGGAACAAAAAGTCAACATCTCCTTCATTTCCAGAAGGCAACAAGCATTGAGCCCTGGGCAGCCCCAGGCGAGGCCTGCAAAGTTTCTAAGTGCTCCTTTTAGCCCTGCTTTTCAATAAAACATAATTAAACATCAACCCTTGGCTAGCTGCACCCGAGACATAACACCTTAAGGGAATAACTAATCAATGTGTAATACAGGTAATCCAGCAACTGACTCTGAGTGGAAGAAACTGGCCACAGTAAGAATATGAACAGCAAGTTGCTTCCTGCAAATGTCACACGTAGCTCACACTCATTTCCCTTGTTTCATCTTTCTACATCTTTCTTTTGAACCACGTTTCTTCCCAGCACCCTATTTAAAAAATATACTGTCCAGGCACTGTGCTGAGAAGTTGAGGCTGCTGCTTCATTAGCACATTTATAATCCAAGCAGCTTTGGGGATAATGGCCTTGCAAGCACACGGAGCATTTCATTTGATTTTTTTTTAATCTGATTCACTTTATTCAGGTTTATTTTCTTATTGATCACAAACCTTTGTATAACTTCTCCACAGCTTGACAAAGTGTAAAGAACAGTTAATATCTGTGGTCCCCACTTCTGTTCCTTCAGTAAGCAAACCTATTCTTCCAGACCCTGCATATCTACCTTTACCAAAACCAGTATTCCCTTCATTTCTCCAGAACAATTTATCTTGATCTTATGCTGCAGAACAGCAATGTGGAATTCCAGAGTTTTCTCTTAATCCACTGGTAGATGGAGTCAAAGCAAAAACACCCACAAAAATTCAGGGACCTATTGAACTCTTGGGAAACCTACACATCTGAAAACACATACAACTATTCATCCCTTTAAAGTCTTGCCACTTCCATCAGGATCTTGCAGAACCTCACCTGAGTTTGTCTGCTTTTAACTCATCTCACCAACCAAAAACTGTGAAAATAACACATTATAGTATTTAAAAGCCAGAATTCCCAGCTCTCTTTGTGGAACATAAAGTACTAGTCAATGAAACATTCCCAGCTCAGTATTTTCAACCAGAATTACAAAGACCAAGTAATGCAAATAGCATGAACTGAGCTATACAACAGTGCTGGGAAGCCCAGCTACCCAGGGCACATGGAACAACAGCTTCTAGCCTGTGTCAGTTGAGAGAGATCATTGCTTAAAGCTCTTGTTGCCCCCTTGCCCCCCACAATTAGCTGCAGGGTTTTTGTCACTGTATCAAGATTTAACAGAACAAGCCCCAAACCTAGGAAGTGTTTAATTCCTGACACAGGATGTGGCTTCACTGATGTTGCTTCCACCTTTTCTTTGTCTCTTTCTTGCCCTTGAGGTCATTTTTGGTGACATTTTCCTGAGATCCACTTCTAAACTTCCTCCCCCTTGCAAACACACACAGAAATATGAATGGCAGGCATGCAATCTGAGCAGAGCCACAGCACAGAAACTTGCACCTTGCACTCTTTTTCTATGTAAATAATGCAAGGATCCTGCGGGAACATGCCAGGGATTGGAATTTTTAATTAATGGGTCTCTTTAATGTGCAAATCAGGAGCAGGCTGCAAATTCTGACTTGCATTGATTATGAAAAACATTAATTGAACGTGCAAGACCCCAAACAGAGGCAACATCTCAAGCCCTGGACTAGACTGGCAGATACGGTGCAAGAGAATACAAATATATCTTGGAGAAACAGACCCGGGGCAGCAGCACCTCAGGAACGTGAGCTGTGGGAGTTCAACATTTGCACTCTGCTGTGATTTCGGTATTAAAACCCACTCTGACTTGCTCCATGGATGCAAACCAGGAATAAACAGAAGCTCCATGACCACAGTTCGGTCTCCAATTTGTATGTAAAAAAGAGTGACAAAAAAAAATCTGGAATGTAATTAAAGATTAAAAAAAAAGGAGAGGAAAGAAAAAGTAAGACAGTGCAAACAAAGCAATGCTGTCTCTTTAAACAGAAATTCATCCTATATAAATTATGGCCATAAACTTTTCCTGCAGTGCAGCCTAATTAATTCTTGTTCTATACACAAAGGGAAATGCTGGGTGACAAATGGGTGTGAAGCCTGAAAGCTGCCAGGTCTGCAAAACATTTTCTACTTCAATTTATAAGCAATTTTGCAGTAAATCATCTACCAGAACCTGAGATCTCAGGAATCCAGAGTGTCCAAACCACGGTGAATCATTAAAAAAAAAAAAAAAATCATAAAATAATAAATTAAACACTAGAGGCTTTGTAACCTCTACTCTCAAAACTGGGAAAACAAGCATGACCTTACTGTGTTCACTCAGATTTGGCTTTAAAACTGCAAATGTATGGAACATTGCTGTCTACTCTTAAACACAATTATACTCAAATCTAACGGGATTTCACTACCACCAGCTGCACAGAGGGTTGTCCCAAGTGGGAGACAGCAAAGAGGAAAATACACGAAGGACCATTTTCCACATCAAAAAAATCATGAGAAATGGAAGGACTTGGGATAAATCACTGACTGCTCTGGGACAGCTTTCAGAGATGCAAAGACCTGTGCAGGGGTAGATGCAGAGACCTCTCTTTGCCCTCCTGCCTTCAGCAGCCTACAGAGCACACCAAGGATCTAGATTTTTGGCACCAACTGCTTTGTGCAACATCAACACCAAATCCTTTCTTCCTGCTCAGTGAAGACAATGAAAGCACGCTAAATTTATTCTGTGGATTTGGAAAGAAGTGTTGAGGCTTGCCTGGAAGGGGAGTATTATCCAGTCCAAAATGGCATCAATGCCATGATTATCCCAAATCCTGTCCAAGACCAAACCGCATCACATACAATGGAACCACCTCAACAATGAGAACTCAGGAGTCCAGAATATTTACTCAGCGCACTCCTTCAGAACCAAGTAAGAAAGTTCATTAAATATATTACAATGTATACTTTCAGGATTACTTAGTTTCACCTTCTGAACGGATAGGCCACAGCTCTGCTATCCAGGCAGAAGCTCTGGAGTTAAGGTGTAGCACAGCTCAGACTGCACACTGGGTAAAGCTCTAGCTGTTGATCAGACATGAATCCTTCTCACAAGGCCTAACACAGCAAAGCAAGAGAGAAATGGGTCTTTGCCACATAACTCCAACTACATCCCCAGTCTTTCATAAGATCTTCATGCATAGGTTTACTCCTTATTTCATGTTTGGCACTTTGTAACTTCTGGGAAGAGCATCTTTGCAGGGCAGTGAAACACAGCTGCACTGCACAGCAATGTAGCTCACCAAAATCTACGATTTACTGTAACCTACTTTATTATATAATTACAGATTTTATTTTAAAAAACAGAACTAAAAAAGGAATGCAACTGTGGTCCCTTAGAGAAGGCTGGACAACACCCAAGCGTAGTAGTAGCAGAATGATCCTAAATTCATTGCTTCCTGTCTACCAGCCCATGTGCCTCCTCTGCTAGCTTTGCCCAGGTCACTCCAGCTTTATTTTCTTGCTGTCTTCACAGATGAAATGCAGAACACAAACCCAGGCTACCAGGAACATCCAAGCACACTACTGCAACTTTCCTGCCTAGATTATGAGAGTGGGAACTGCTGAGCAGTTACTAACAGTGGATTTTCCTTTAGTGATCTGAACAACTGAAAGATCAGCCTCTCTGCTGTACTGTGTACAGTATTATACTCCATGTTCTTGGATGTATTTTGCTTATGGGAAATATCAAAATGTCAACCATTGTTTCTGTTAAAGGTCTTTAATGATATTGCATTTTAGACCTGTAATGAAACATGGTGCTTGGTGCAGTTTGTAATGCATCTCATTAAATACATTAATAACATGTATTTCACTGAAAGGTCAGCTTGCTATTGTTGGGAGTTTGCCTTTTTTCCCTTAATCACTTCATTTAAAGCAGCAGAGCTAAGTTTAAAATATAACAGATCTCACCTGCTGCAACTCCAGATAAGCTGATTAGCTGCCATGTTCAGGTGAGGCATAAGCCCTAAGATGAGAGTCTAAGCCTGGTGTAAGCGCAATGATGGGGAAAGTTCCTAATCCAGTTTTAAGACAAATTGTGCCAGCCCAGGCCAAAATTTCTCAATGCCTCTTGTTGTTCATTAATTTGTGATTAATGGAATCAGAAAAAAGCATGTCAGGGAGAAACAGACACCAGCTGATACCTGCAGTAGTTTGTATTTATTCCTAAGGATAACACACCAGATATTAATCTCCCTGTGCATTTACTTTTAGAGGCCAGTAAAAAAAAGGTGTCTAATTCTAAAAATTAAATAGACCCACACCACACTGAAGTACTTTGCACTCATCAACTGGAGCATGCAATTGTATTTGCCATATTGGAGAATCCACTACAAATCTCATCAGATCAATATCATTAATAGTGATCCTAAGAAATAAACAGATAAAGCAGCTCCAAGCTGAAAAGGTATTTGCTGCTGATATAACAGCACAGGTTCTCTCTTATGGGCTACATTACTCCTGGTTAGGGCAAATCTTGGCATTCACTGACCCAACACAAAACTGGTGCCACAAGGTGTCTCTTTCTTTGTGTGGGGTAGGGAAGAGGTTTTGGTTTCTGCTTGCATGGAACCTAATTAACAATTAAGGCAACACAGACCAACAGCTAATATGAGACAGCTGCAACTCAAAGCCCTCACTTTCCTATTAACAGTTCCCCACACAGGCAAACCATAGTGACTACAGCAGAGCCTAACCAAAGTAGAAAGGTTGAGGAATTCTTACAGTTCTCAACAGCGTTGTCAAACTCCTGTCCACCTTCCTTCCTGAAGGCTGGGTAAGTATCTGGCTGTGGAAGCCGGTTGACTGTTACAAGCGCCTTCTGCATCTTGATTCTCCCCTCCAGTAGTTGATCCCACAGTGCTTTATAACAAAGAGAAAACAAAACAATTTAGTAAGCCATAGCACTTGCTCCTTGTGAAGGAGGTGTAGACTTGACAGCACAGGACCTCTCCCTTGAGCTATGCGACTCGTGGTTAGGACAAATCTTTGCATGCACTAACCCAGCACAAAATTGGTACCCCAAGGTGTCTCTTGACAAAGCAGCATCCCATCCTATGATCCTGACTGCAATTCTGGAATCCACAAAAGAAAATCATCCTTTACACCTTTACTTAAAAGTACATTCTGCAAATGGGGGGTTGACAGTTTAATAAGGCAGACAGGAAGAAACTGCAGTCAGTATTACATCCTAAGAAACAGAAGCGGTGTCAACACCACTGCACAGCACTACCAGTGTGGGAAGTCCCCATCCCCACCAATACCACAAGTAATTCACTACTGGTTCAATTAAGCCAGTGGACAAATACACTTCATAACATGAGGCTCTGTAGCAGCAGTGACACCAGCTTGCATAGCAGATTTGGCAGAACATTTGCAAATGTGACGAGGGCTGCTGTAGCATGCCCATGCAGTATGCTAACAGCATGTTAACATGCTGAAGTGGTTCCTAACATGGCCGGTTTCTATGGTGTCAGCAAGGTGAAAGGCTTGTCAAAATACAAAGCAGATGTGTACAAACCTAGCTGGTTCTTCACAGCTTTTCCTTTTTCTGCTTCTTCAGTCTCTTGTCCTTTTGAGAAAGTCATCACCCCCCCATCATCTTCGTGGTCTGTGGTTTCTTTTACATTGTCATGGTTTTCACCCTCATATTCCTCCTCATCACTTCCTTCTTCCATGCTGGCATCATCTTCATCTTCCCCTTCACTACTTCCAACATCATCCATCCCCTCTGTAAATTTCCCAAAGTCTGAGATGTTCTGGAAACTGAACTTTGATTCCTTGGTCTCAGCAGACGGATCTGTCTCTTCATCATCTTCCAAGTCATCCTCCTGGTCACTGCCAGCACTGCCCAGCTTCTCCTTTGTTTTCGTGCCTAAGCTGCCATTCTCTTCTGAATCCTCACTGCCACTGTACCAGTCATCTAATGCATCTTCAGCTAATAATGAAAAGAGGAAAAGAGTTATTTACTGACCAGAAAAATCTGCCTCTTTGCAGCATGCATCATGAACAGTTACAGGTCTGGGCTATTTGAGCTCCAAACTCCATTTTAGCTGTGTACAATGCTACTCCTGAATTTCAGGAAGGCACTTCAAGATGTCCAACCTAAATGTTCCTGTTGAAGTCCCTGTTACAGGGCAACAAAGTTTGGCATCGCAGTTCAGTTAACTACTCAAATTTTAACTAGTCTAGTGAAAAGGTGAAAGAAATGAGATTTCTTACCAGATCCTTCTTCAGACAGAGCATCTCCCCAGAGCTCCTCTTGCAAAGCTTTGCGAGATGTAGCTTTTCCACTGTATCTTTTATCATCTTCCAAGAGAGAGGCTGAAGCTCTTTTCCGTATGTTACCAACAGGGAAAATGTCATCTGCAGTTTCATCCTCAAATCTGTCAATCACTTTGGCAACTGTAGCTGTGGGGAAAAGACAAAAACAGGAGGGATGTCTAAACTGAACTGAATTTCCGACTAGAAGAACCAGCTGCAGGAAGGCGTCATGGAGAACTCCTCATGCTCTGCAAACAAAAATACACTGCAAAGGTGAGCTGGATGGCAACACAGCCTCACAAAGGAGCCTGCCTTTTAGGCTCCGAGAGGGAGCAAGGCTCTTCCCTGCCTGGTGAAGGAAAGCCAGCACACTGATGTGTGCAAAGAGGGAAAGGTTTGAACCACAGGGCTCACCTGCAATGCAGAGACTGATGTCTACT